GCCCAGCCACTACGACGTGCCCAGAAGATTCTTATCCAAGTCCGAGAACAAAATACTATGGATGTGGAAGTCGAAGTCGAAGCTAAACAGGAAAGAGGAGCCGATTTACGACATTCCCAAGTTACGAAGTATCGAGAGACCTAGATCCAGCATTTACGACGACTTGGAATCTCACCATGCCGTCACAAGGCCTATCGATACTAGAATCTACATGAACACCCAGGTGCAATTGTCATCGTCGAACAACCTGATCTCCGGCATTTAATTTAATTCGAAGGTAATTGTAAGCAAGCGGTCCCTCTGTTGAGATTCGTTTATTTTAAGATGAAATTGGTATATTATTATATTATTATATAATCGGTATAGATATCATGAAATTAGTTTATTAGTTTATTAGTCGGGCAGCTTTGACACGACTTATTTTCAGATCTGATTGTCGCTCGATATATGATCGGGAACGACGTGTAACGAAATCGACGATACAAATTTTTTTACGAATTTGTAGTACAGGTAATTGTGATTATTGCGTATTTCATGATCGTTTTAGCACTTTTCCATGTTGTAAGTATATTGCAGCGAACGTTTTAGAAGCTCGGGTCGAATGAGCGCTTTTTAAATGCTTGTAGATTTACGTAAACGTCGTTTTAGGATTGTACGCAAGTTCTTTGTAACGATCGTACGTTATAAACCATGCACATATGTAATTCTTTCGTGTGATAGTCCCGTATATTTGGGAACAAATATTTTACGAGATCTTTCGAACACGCCAACAGTGACTGTTTCTTTTAAACGAGCGAACTTTGTGTTTTAATTAAATCGCGAGAACCATCTATTTTTATATTCGCACGTATTTTAACGGTTTAAAAATCTGTCCTTTTCGTAAGGTGCGAAACGCGAAACATTCGATCACAGTTTTTAGTTGAAAGCTGTGGAACGTGGTAGAAGAAACAGAAACTAACTGACAGAAATTATACAAAACGTTAAGTCTTGCTTACCGTTTCTAACGGAAACTTTCTTGCAAAGACTTTTGTCGTGCGCGCGATAGAATAGATTTTCGATTTCAAAGCTATTTCTTAAAATTCGTTCTCTTTCGTTTCCTTTCGTTGTCACCTGGAAACGCGAAACGAGGATGCAAAAAAAAAAAAAAAAATGCACGAAGAGCAACAAAGAAAAAGCAAATTTTACCGTCGTGGTATTTCTGTAAAGAAATATCTTACAATGTGCTGGAACTTGGCGTTACATATACCTTATGATCTCGAGATTTACCAATATCACGTAATTGTGGCACGCGTCGAATTGTATTATAAGTGAGAGATAGTTAAGCTTACGTAGATGTAATTGTTTCTACGAATTCCACACTTTTATTTATCGTACGATTTACGTTTATACGTAGTTAGACTTTTAGGTCTTTTAGGTCTTTTAATATCTTGTCCTTTTAATAAAAATTATTTAATAAAAATATACGCCCGCTTCCATAAGGCAGTTTACTTTAATGGAAAGCAAGATTTCCACCTAACGCGTTAGCATCTGAAAAAGCACAGCTCCTCGAATAATCAATCTGGTCACGGACTAATCGGATCTCGTAAAAAACAAGAAAGGAGAGCCGTAATTTCACTCGCGTAATTCCCCTCCTTGTTTCGATCAAATCGCTTAGGTCTGTCATAATCAGAGCGAAGGATAGCGATAAAACCGATTTGACCGCCGTTCACGCGAATCTTTTCGGATCGATTCGTTATCGTTTATAAAATTAAGATTTGTTCGAAAATCGACGCGATCGATGACTCGGCTGTGCCAAAAAATGCTATACATACGCGCACTGTAATCGAGTTGATTCAAAGGGTATACATCTTTTGTATGCACGCGCACGTACGTCGATAGGACAACGACAGAACTAAGTTTTAAATCGACTCCGAAATCGGCAACCTTTTCAGTCGTATCGTCTTGTCGGTGATATCGGCGTCGTTCGCGAGATTCTCGTTCACGTCACCGGTTCAACGAGGCGGAGAACGATCAAGTAACATCGTCGATAAGCCCGGTTACGTAGTGCGATCGATGTTCGTCCTCGTGCTTGTCGTTTCGCAGCGGTGAAACGGCTATCGAGAAAGATCGCCATGATGTTATGAAAACGTCTCGGATCTCGTGGGGCCGTAACGGTAAAATCTTGCTCGCGGTAGATAAAATGATACAGTGACGTAGAATGCTCGTATGCGCCGGACACAGTTGCGACGCAGATACCGAACGACGCTAAGCGAGGGTAGTGACGACGGTCAGCCATTACCGCCACCGCTGCAACTACGTCGGCCAACGTACCTGGAAATCCGTTGGTGATCGGTGTACGTGTCAAGGCCGGCAAATTTTTACCAACAGCATCATCGCGCACAGATTTCGAAATGTTTCGACGAGTATGGTACGTACGACGTGCGCCATTTTTCGAACTTCGATCGAAGAATAAACGAGAATACATTTTTTCAAGGGCACGAAGAATTCGATCAGCGATAACGTTATAACTTTGTCGCGATTAGCGCGCCAGTTACAACGTTCTCCGATAACGATGGAGACGCGTACACGTTTGGACGTAAATTTGCGATACGAGTTTGCGTCGCGAGCGTATATATCTTGATATTAAAGTAACACACGGTGTACGTAATACAGTCGTAAATTGGTCGTACCGTGCGGCCGAGCATTCTTCGGTTCCGAAATGAAATTCCCACGAAAACAGTCGCGCTGGTAACTAATTACCTCGAATGAGAAACATTCGCGATAGAACACTTGAAAACGTCCCTCTTGTTCCCCGTTCTTCCCGACAAAATTTCCAAAATGTCCAAATATTCGCATTATTCGGACTTTATTCGATTCGCATGTTCTTTGGTTCTTAAGAAACGGAGAAGGGAGAGGGAAAATAAAATGATCGAACGAATTAAGAGCTGTATTTGAACAAAGCTATTAATCAGCGGATTGTAATTAGCGTCTGTGGCCGTTTAAGCAGGACGTGGATATTGGTATAAATTGCATCCGCTTTCGATAGCCAATAAAATTAGACGAATCGGACCTGTTTACGTTGCACCGGATTACCACAAATTGGTGCCAATTAATTAGGCAACGACGTTTCAGAGGGCGTTTGCGTGAATGGTTTCGAGGCAAACGAAGATACACGATCGGATACTGATCGACGATTTACTCTTATCGAATCTCTTGTTTGTATCAGCGAAAAGCTTGCATAATTTGACGAGCGTTCGGCCGTATCGATTCACGGCAGTTGATTAAAGCAGCCGCCCGCCATCACTGTATCACTTTGTAATTTATCGAACCGTTTGCCACCGCTTCTCGGGCTGATCGTGTTAATTCCTATCGATTTACAGTCGGTATGGAACGTTAATCGAACGTAACGAGTTAGTTAGCTCGGCTTTTCGGATAACGTTTCGTTTCGTTCGTCTGGTCGCCAGGCAAGAAAATAGCCAGACCGAGGCAACAGCCCCGGCTCCCAAATCCTCGAAAGATTAAGATTTATGAAACGGTTTCCAGCTAGCAAACGCACACCTACGAAATTGTCTCGCTCCTTTGGAAGTTTATCCTTTGTCTCGGCCGAGGCAGACCCGTCCCAACGTCCCAGACCCGACGCAGCTACGTACAACTTAAATCCAAGATTGAACTCGCTACAACCGCGTTTCGGTCTATAGAGAACCGTTAAACTCCCTTGCCATTATATCGCTGCCTCCTTTGCTATTCGCTTTGTCGATGCTCTCTCCTAATCGTCGTCGTTCCACTACGATCGTACGTTTCTTGTCGCGACTCGTACAGTTCCGAGGGAAATGCATCGAGAAGCGAACGCAACGAGTAGAAAGATAATCGCGATGCGGACGAAGAGGAAAGGATCGGAAGTCGTGTCTCTTTGAATTTGCGTTTGCCGCTCGATCGAACTACGAAAAGGAATCGGTAGCGGTTTCGCGAGCATCGGAGTACGGAACGGAAGGAGCGTCGCTGATCGCGAGGTCCGAGGGAGTAGCGGAAAGGTGCGAAAGGGTGTGCGTCGAGATCTTAATAATTTAATCGACTGATAAAGTTACACCGGTGCGAGGTGAAATTGGCACGCGGTACACCAGGGGAAAAAAAGGAAGCGGACAGAACGAGGGAAGAAGCAATTTTCCAGGGTGATGGCCTGGAAAATTGCCGCAACGTGCCTACGCTCACCGATGTCCGATGTCAATGATCGTTTTATTTTTCCTTTGCCGCTAGTTGTGGGAAAAAGCTCGATCCATTTTCATCCGAGTCTGTCGTCAGAAAAATTCTATTTATCTTTTTGTCGCATTTTTCTGTCGAGAGAAATCCGATATCTGATTGCCACTCCTTTGTAATCTCTCGAGCCCGTTGCACGCGAGCTGCAGGCTTCGTCTCGAATATATCAAAGATTCGCCTCTGGATCGAAACAGGGAAGGTTCGAGGATCGCAACAGGGTTAACGCGAGCAATGGGCGTAGCCAGACACTCGGAGACGGATCTCGCTTCGTCGAAAATATCGGCTTCGTCGCACGGGGCCCGATGACTTCTCGCCTTCTGTATCTTATATCTCGTCGAAATGCATCTTCTTCGAACAACGTCGTAAAATTTGCTCCTGAATTCGTTACGAGTCAGCCGCTCTCCTTTAAACTGGCATCTGCATCGAACCGTCGTACGATCGTTCTAACGTGGAACGCCGAGGATGTTACGCCTCGCCGCGATAACCTTTATTTATCCGCAAAAGCGGAACAGAGAGGGAAACTTACGCCTCGCCGCGATAACCTTTATTTATCCGCAAAAACGGAACAGAGAGGGAAAGGTTGCACCTGGTCGCTACAATCGGAGAATTTCTATCGAACGAGAACGTAAATTCGGGAAAAATATGAAATTCGATTCCCTTTGCGCAAATCCGGATACAATTCCGATGCAAATGCACGGGTATACTTATAGATCTGGTGGTACGTGAAAAGCCTGGACGTACTACTTACCGGCGAAAAAATAGTTTTCACGAATATACGACCGAGCGGACGCGAATGCGCCAGGAAACCGACGAAGAATGGCGGTGGTTGGTCCGTGATGGAAAGACGAACGATCTTATCGAATTTTTTGGAACGTCGCTTGCTTCTTTCTTCCGCGTTGTTGCTCAAGAAGTTCGACTTCAAGAAGTCGAGGGAAACTCCAAAAGGATTATCAGATACGTCGACATCACTCCGACGATCTGCAAACAATAGCGACATTTTTTCGAACAGCAGCTTCAAACGGGTCGTTGATCGTTGGTCGAGTGTCCGGTTTGTATTAAAATAGCGATCGAGAGCCGAACCGTGTTCGAACGAACCGTAAACGAGGGATCCCGATGAACGATTTTGCTCGAAGCGTCTGCTGCAAATTGGACAAACTTGGCGTGCAACTGTTATTACGAACTCGTTTCGGCTTTGCCACGGAACCGGGATATCGAGGAGCGAGTTACGCTAACCTCTCGGATGCTTTTTCGCGATGCAATTTACGATGGTACGATCTAGGTACGACGGTACATTTGGAGATCGTGGTTATTAAGCGAAATCCAATTAATCTCTCGCTTTGGTGGGATAGAAGGTAACGTAACGAGATTCGGACGACCGACGAGATAAAGACGGGTTGTTCTTTGGGCATGGTTGATGCGTAAGGAAGAAGAGAGGAGTACGTTGGTAATTAAAGTCTACTTTTCCGCGGAAAAGATAGAAAATATATTTACCGAACAGAGCAACGACAACTTGACGTCGAAGAGACCGCCGGCCGAGAAATGAAGCCGTCTATTGAGAAAGTGCAGCGTAGTACGAACGGTATCCTGTAAAAAAAGATACGAACGATCGAACGATCGCGTACGGTGGCTTTGATAAAAGTACGCGTTTATATTAAAATACTCGCATTGTGTGGATATCTCTCGACTACTCTCGCGTCCCATTCGACCAGGGTCACAGCCATGAAATTAGCCTGCAATTTGCGGTCCTTTCGTTAAAATCTCCGCTCGAAAGTTACGACTAATTTAGAAAATGAATACGTTACCTCGGTTATCGTGTAATCGCAGACGAGGTGCAGGGCCAAAAGCTGTCCCATATATCCGGAAAGCCAGGAACTCGTGTTGAATATCACGGGCCAAGGTAAGCTGTAGGCGTTCGTCACGATGATCCAATCGATGATCAAGTAGAGATTGCTGATGATGTGTACGCTCAAATTTCCTAGCCAGAAGAATAGCGACCACGAGTAAAGGGAGCCCAGGGATTCGCCGGATACCATCAACTCGTCGTGCAATTCCTGGATGGTCTTTTTTCGAGTAAACGTTAAACGCGGTGTTACGCTTCGCTATTGCGCGCTATCGTACGAACAAACGCAGCTCGATTTTAATTAGCTATGATATGTACGCCGCACCTTTCTGCTCACGCTGGTGCTTTTGTATCCGACTCTCGAGGGTAGATTATCCCTCGCGATCTGGTTCAGCTGATGAAAGCGTTGACCGAGAAAGCTCGCCATTCCGAAGAATTTGTAGACGGATGACGCGTTGGTGACGTACAGACACATGTAACTCATATTAAACAGCCAAGACTCGTTGAAGGCGAACATTCCGCTCTGATTAATCACCGTCCAAACAACGATCTGAACGATCAAAAGAACCCACGCCGCTATCCGAGTTTTTACCTCCTTGCGCGGGTAACCCAGTTGGCTGAGCCTCTCGTCGAAATCCTGCAGCGCGTTCCAAATGCGGCAGAACGCTTTCCTCGCGAATATCACCGATATGAGATCGTACATAGCGATCAGATAGTTCACCAGTACCTGTCATCACCAGTGATGCCAGTGCATCGTTAATCGTCTAACGAACGTAGCTACTTGCGTGGAAATCGACCGCGCGATTGGAAAAAATGGTTGCAATTACCTTGGCAGTTTCGACCACGTTAAGGATCATTTTCTCTCTCTTCACGGCGAGGAATCTTATGCACACGTTGCGTATACAGTAAGAATAAATAGCCATGCAGACGAAGGAAAATAGGAGATAGAAGTTGGACGGGACTAGCTGGTCGCCCGTGAAATCGTACGGCGCCAAACCCAACGCTTTCATTATGGAAACTATGGGATAAATCGCCGAGTACAATACCGAGTCCGGGCCGTGATACTTTCTCGCGTGACATTTTCTCGCTTCGGTCACTTCCGCCAGCGTACTTTCAACGTCGAACGGCTTTACCCGGGTTTTCGACAATGGAAGAACCTCTTTCCTCGGGTAACGCGGCAATTCTTTTTCCATCAACTTTGAAAAATTCATTTTCCTCGTTATCGAGTTGTTGCTGTTTCTCTGGGAAATTTCCAGCTGCGGGCTGTCGCCACGCGCGTTCCGTCGAAGGAAATTCTGTGAAAAAATACTCGCGTCGAAGTCTAGCCGCATATTTTACAAACTTTACTGCGGCCTGCAATTTTACGATGCGAGAACGACGAAGGAAATATCGCGATCTCCGAACGAATCGAGTTTGGTCTAGCCGGCAATTAGTCGCTCTTTCCACCGTACGAAGCGCCTATCGTCGATTTGAAATATTAGCAAAAGCGGAAAATAGTAAAACAGGAAACAGGAGGAGGCACGTTATTTCGATACGCGCGAGTACGAACGATCCAGTGAACTCGTATCGCGTATACAAAAGCGTTTTCCCCTCTGATTTATCGTGTCCGGTCGCTGATAATTTGTTTGTTAGCCGCGTTCGATACGCGGGATGCTTTTTCCGTTTATTCGCCGCGCTGCGTATCGGCGATCGTTCGCAAAAGAGATTTAATATCGAAAAGGACCGATTACGAGAAACGGAATGAAACTGCGTCGGTCGTTAAATCAAAGTTCCTCCAGCGACGGTTCAACGGTTTACGAAGGAAACAACGAACAAATTAACTAAGAAAACACCTCCGTCACCTTCCGTCGCGACGAATACCTTCTTCGACGAATAGCCCGAAGAAGACTTTCGAGCGCGTGGAAATTTCGAACGATGGAAATTCGAATCGGGCTCTACTCGTTCTCCGTTCGCAGAGACAACGACGTCCGTTTAAATCGAGAATGCTTTGGGTTGCGCGAAGAACGAACGCGAGAGCGAATCGCGAAATTTGCAACGTGGACGCTCCGGACGAGTAGAAGAATCGGTCGCGCGATGGAAAACGGAGAGCGAAAAACAGTCCGAGTTGGCTGTCGCGTCGCCACGAAAACTGACTAACTGTTCCTCGAGGAGGATGCGGCGAAACTTAAAAAGAAATCGCGCCGCACCGTCATTCCTGATGACGCGGCAGGCGGTCGAACGTTTCCCAGCAACCGCGTAAATAACAACGAAACCAGGCTCTTCAATCGGCCGTGATAAAACGGAATTAAAGTCGTTAATTCAAACAAACGCGAGTGGACGTACACTTACGGCCATTAGAACGTCCGTCGTTCTTCCAGTCGTCGTTAAATTATGAATCATTGAACGGTCGAAGCGGAATAACAAACCGCTCCAGTGGATTTATCTTCCTATCGAGCAACTCTGTCGCGTTTGTTATCCCTTTTTTTCGCCAAAGTGCTACAAATCACGAGCGTTTTATCGATTCTTCGTCGGTGAAATAACGAATGTTAGAAACTGCGAGGATGACGATAACGCCACTCTGCTGTCAACCTAATCGCATCGAATCCAAGCTGCAGACTAAATGACAACCGTTGTGTCAATATCTCTGCTGTATAAACGCATCGTAAACAACTAGCTGTTTATTTCACTGCCATTTCGTGTCATTCGTTATCCGCCGATCTGGTTAGAAATAATCGTTCGGTGCAAGAACGTTGACGACTCTATTTACCTTTTCGTCGTCCTTTGTCGTTAAAAATGCAACGGCCGATAGAATTTATCACGCTCTTCGACAAATCCATCATCGATTATCGGCCCGTCGAGATCCACCGATTCGAACAACGTTGGCACGCGAGCCTGTCCCATCGAAATGCCGCTAATGGTCGTGGGATTGCGAGCGTCCATTAATTAGATTTGCTCGCGATCGATGCTCCAGCTCCGGATGGATCGTACCTTGCTGTTTATTTCCGCGATCCTGTTTCCTCTTACGAACGAATTGAGATCGTTCGTGAGATAAATTATTCCTTTTAAAATCGTTCCGAACGTGCGATCGAGTCGTTCGAATAAATGACATGACCAACCAATTAAACGCGACCGATTTGTTTTAATCGATCGCAGAACAGATCGCGTTGCTTCCACGTCGGAATAATGAGAGCCGCGTTTGACTTTTCACAGGGGTGAAAAATGGAATAGGAAGGAAGAGAGGGAGGGAGAGAGAGAGAGAGAGAGAGAGAGAGAGAGGGAGAGGGTAATATAAAGCAGCGTATTAGATGAAAATTTACGATGGAAAGTGTCTCGTCAGAACGACGCCCTAGAGGAATGCAATCCAACTCGGCGTGCAAGATGAGCGATATTCGTGGAACGGTTAACGCACGGTTCTCACCGCGCATATCCATGGAAATAAAAGCTGCTTTTGCCCCGCTTCTCTGCAAAATTGCTTTCCAGAGTGGGCTGGTTTTTTTTTTCGTCAACGCCGTCAGCAACTTGTTGCCGCGCTTTGGTATTCGTTACCGAGTATCGAATTCCCCCACCAAACCTATCGGTTTTTGCAACGTGACGAGATTCCCTTCGAAAAATTGCGATCGAGACGCGAAGGATAGCAATTAAGAAGCATGCTCGGGCGCTTTGAAATTCCAATCGACGCATCCCTCTGAAATTGATGCCGAGTAACCGTCTAATCGAGGAACGAGAAACAACGTTCGATCGGCGATCGAAAATCATCAGTGAATCCTGCAGCTATGCTCTTCGAGAAATAACTTTTTTACCCTTCGAGCGTATCAAATCACCGATTCTTACCGATACTTTATACTTTTCCAACACAGCACGAACAAGATAAACGACAAGACCACTATGAAGGCGGTAAAGGAGCGACTGTTCGAATGGGCTTGTAAGAAATACGCGACGAATAGTCTGTTGGACAGACGTCTACTGCGAGACAGGGCTCTGCAACTGGCAAGGATAAGTGGCTCGAACGGTACTTAATCCCGTTGATAATATTTTTTATCTTTTTTTTTTCTCTTTTAGCGCATAGGAAGTCGATAGAGTAGTAGCTTCGGTTGGAAATGCAGCTAACGTCGACCGCCGATTAAACTTTGCTTCTCTCGGTGTTACCGTGTGTAGGATTCAAGTGCTCGGACAGATGGTTGACTACATTTTTGAAAGAGTACGGCTTCTCTAGCGATTTGACGAGTCAGCCGGCACCGATGTTCACCGATTACCGCGACTGGATCGACCTGATGAGATCGACGATAGTCAAGTACAGGCACAAGGATCTGTTTCACGCGGACGAGCTGACCATGTACTCGGACGTTCTCCCTTCGGGAATCCCGTGCAACGGGGTCGAAGATCCAAGGGCGATCGATTCATCGAGGAACCGAGTGACGGTTTTAACGTGCTGTAATTCTTCGGGAACGACGAAACTGCCGCTCCTCGTCTGCGGACCGTACGCGTCCAAGATAACGGCGAAAGAGCACGTTTACGATCACAGCGAGGATTCTTGCATCGGAGACGAGTTGTTCAGAAGTTGGCTGTCGAACGTGAACGATCGTATGATCGAGTCTAATCGAAAGATCTTGCTGTTTCTACGATGCGGCAGAGCTCGCGCGCTCAAGGATTTCGTAGCGAGCAACGTACAGCTCGTTTACTTTCCCGAAGATTTCCCGGCATTTTTACGACCGTTGCGGAGGGACGTTTTCCATTACGTTAAGATGGTATTTAGGCGAAGGTGAGTCTCGTGACAGTAAAATTTGATGGGAACGTTGCTTAACTTTTTTCCCTGTCGGACAACGGTGAAACGTTTGTTGTTAAAGGTACGCAGAGCGATTAAAGCGACATACCATGAAATGGAATCTTGACGACATCCTGGCGTCGCTGATCGAAGCATGGGAGTCGATACCGCGGGAACTGATAGTATACAGCTTTCAAAGGACCCACTTTAGGACCGACGACTGTTTTCTTCGGATCGATTGCGATTGCTGGAACAGCTTGAAAGTCGGTATCTCGTTCAAAAAATTCGTGACGTTCGACGACGGTCTGTCGAGCGAACCGGCGACGTACGAAAAGAACCATCGATGTCGTTGTTACGAGCTTTCCAACCGCAAAAACGTTAAACGGAGCGACAATGATTCTGTGTTGAAAAACACGCCGCAAGGTATCTCGGAAGCGACTGTTCCAAAGCTACCGAACGAATCCGATCGGAACCTTCGAGCGACGCCTTTAAACGTAAAGAATCGTGCATGTAGAAAATACGACTGTTCTATGGTAACGAGTCAGGTCAACGGTAACGCAAGCACAGCAACGATAACGTATAACACGAAAAAGGAAAATCTAGCGGAAGCGAGCGGCGGACGTAAAAAGTCGCAAAAGAGAATTTACAGCGAGACACGATTTTCTACGAAGGAACGGAATGGCAATCGATGTGCGTCCGAGCAGAGGAATATTAAAAATACCTTTGTATCGAAATACCCGAACGTTATCCGTTCGACTTCGTCCGGGGATGGAACGTTTCAAACAGAAGCGAACGAGATACGAGAGTCTCTCGAACCGGTCGTAGACGAAGCTTTGACTTTATCGTCCATTTCAACCGCCCAATCTAACTCCGCCAACGACCTAATCGATAATATCAATGCGACTGATCGTGAAACAATAAGGAACTCTGAACATAACGTGGTAAGAAACAATCTGACGCGGTTTAAACGCTTGAACAACGAACAAGGTGACGCAAAGTCCAAATGCACGAATCAAGGAACAGTACGATCTAGCATTTTGGACAAATTTAATCAACCGTCTACCTCTACGAACAATTGCAACGTTACTTCCGAAGTGATTGGCCAAGATACGCCTCGATTACGCATGGAAAATCGTAGCAGGAGTCAAAGTTCGAACGTAGTCACGAACAACGAGAGCAGCTTGCCTTCCGTTCATCAGAAAATCTTGAATTTTACGAAGAACCGACGAAACTCTGTTTCCAACAATTCCGAGGATGATTCTGAAACGAGCGAACCAAGGGAAAAGAAATTGAAAACGAATCATAACTGGTCTAAACAGTTCGAAACCTCTTTCGTTTTTGGTTCTCCGGATACGGATTATTCTTTCGGTGCTCGGCGTAATAAAAATATCGCGGAATCAGGTATTTTTAACATAAATCCGTTTATTTCTCCGAGGGATTAAAATTTCTCTAAAAATTTTCAAAGCAGAGAAATTTTATAAATTATTCTTCCACGCGCATCGAAACAAGACGAAGGACGATTTTTTTAAAGAATTTTATTTCATTATACGTAACGCAGAATATTTTTAAGCTTTTTAAGAATATTCTTTTGAAATATTGTTTTTTAGTTTAAATCGGGTTATATAAATATTTATAATCGAATCATTCTGAATATCGCTATTGCTTTCGATATCTGAAACGATAAGTCACAACAATGATATACTCTGTTAAAGTATAAATGCGCGTAATATGAAAAAATATATAAAATATCCAGAGTTACAGTGCTTTCTATAATACTCCATAGGAAGACAATTTTCTACCGAGATTCTACTTTCTTAACTATATTTCCAAAAATATGAATTTGCGTAGAAATCCGCAGTCTAGTAATAGATATCGAAGTTGATACGAGTATTCGACATATGCAGATGATGTTCGGAGATTTATGATACATTGCCGTATCACTGTGGCAACTCGTACTAATCGCATGTCTGTTACTGATAGAATATAATGTATACTTGTCGTCTGCGCTTCTATTATAATTCCTGCTACTACCTTCGATCGATTCGAATCAGTATGCTTTAATTAACATATACTACAAAAGTTGTTGGAAGTTTATACGATATTCACCGATGTTGTTTGTTATTAATAATTAAAAACTGTTATTTATAAGAACGATTAATACACGTATGAAAAAATGGCATGCGCTTCTTATCCATATCAAAATGATAATTTATCTCTTTCAGCCAGCCTGTCATTTAAACGCTTAATAGATCTCTTTATTTGTTTCGAGACCAAAAAAATACTACATCTAAGGCCGCGAATCGTCGATTTTCGTGAAATAACTGTCATATTACATATCACATTACAAAAATAAATAAACCGATTTTATTTCTTTCAGTAAATGTATATTTACTATTAATTTCATTGTATACATTTATTTGTATATATAAGTTTGATTACCTACTCTACAAAAATATACAATTTCAAGTAATATAAATCGGTGAATAAAAAGTTTTCGTATGTGAAAGCACGATCGTGCCAAGTTCATTTTCTCATTCAATGGATACACCATATATTACCTCTGAATATTAACATTTACTACTAGCTTTTATCATTAAAGAATTAGAACGAGAAATGAAAAAACTGAGATACAAGAACAAGCATATTTTATATCTAGTTATTATGCTTGAGAGGTATTTTTGATACAATTTATGTTACATTCGTAACTATATTTAAGTTATTAATATCAATTCTCAGATCCTATAGATTCGTATAATTTGCTAACAGGTAAATCTTTAACTTGATCTATAACATCTAATATTTTCTGTAATATTTGAGAATGTATCTTTGATTTGTCGTCATCCGCATTAATTATATACCATGTTTGGTCCATTATTTTCCTATAGTTGGAAGCAACGTGTGACTGAATTTCATTATTTTCATACCGCTCATCTCCCCAATTGCTACGTGAACACTGAGTTTCTTTGGAAACATTGAGGAATATAACTACATCCGGAGAAGGTAGTCCTTTGTCAGGTGCTTTGCACCAATCTAAACATCTACCAGTTGTGGCTGCAGTATAAGCAGCACCTGAACCAGCATATCTGCAATGATATTTATAATTAATGTTATACTTAAAAATTGCCCTTTCGAGATCGATACAAAGTTTGATACTTACCTATCTATGACAACAGTAGTACCGCTATATAAAGATCTCAAAATTTCATCTTTGCATTCCCATCGATTTGCAGAAAACAACATATGCGCTGTTTCCAATGAAAAATTTAGTTTCTTGCTCAAATAATTATTTATTATTTCTCCAGTGGCAGTTGTTCTATCTGAAAGCAACGTGTAATCAAATATTGATTATTTTAGTTATCATTTGACAAGGTTATGTACAATAAATAGAGAGAGAAAATCAATCTCTCGGTAATTACTCTGATATAAGTATGTGCTTAAACTTGTATGAAATTGTTAAAAAATCTGATTACCAGGAAATGCTCGTTGTTCGACCGGAATGTCACGTTGTTTCAACGCATGAACCAGCAACTTCGCCTGGGTGGATTTTCCCGCCCTGTCACATCCTTCTAATACTACCAAAGCACCACGTACCGTTGACATTATCTTTTTCGGTAAAATCTTCTATTTACACACTTACTCCTAATCTCGCACATTTATCAAAATTTTGGATCGTAATTAACAGTAACGCGCAGTATACGGCAGTTCACAGTGTACACGTGTCAATTATCGAAGCGGAATCGATTTAAGATGGAATCTGTATTTCAAATTTAAAAAATTCCTTTCGATGGAGATATGGTCGTAGAAAATGCACATTTACGATGAAAAAGACAAATTTGCGAAATATCGAGACTCGTATGTTGCCTTTCATATATCATTCTTTATTATAATAGCAGTAATAATAATAGGGATAGTAGTAATATTAATATACAGTATACATTTCTTATTATCCGTATTTCCCATAAACATACATCGACATTTGAATTATAAAGTGCATTAAAGATATATCGTAATATATTACATTAAGCCGAAATCGCATCATTCATAAACCATTCTATACATATATTACGTACAATTCAATTAATACTTCTGTTCAACGTTAACGTTTCATGTTAAAACCCTCTTTCGACGTTTATTAGTTTACTGCGAGTACACATATCACTTCGGCTGCATTCGGACATATCGACAAAGGGATACAAATCGATCGAATTTACATACTCAAAATCTAAATTTTACTTAATTAAGATATATAAACCTGCTCAACAAAACCGAGGTATTTCGTTGAAATAAATTTAACATTAATTTCGGATAGAAAATCATTTTTTTCATAATCAAGACACATATTTTGCATCTTAATGCCATTTTTCACAAGAAGAATTATTCTGATTTTGATGTTGCATTTCAAGCTAAAACGTAATAATAAGTCTTTGATTTACTTGAACGCGAGAAGGACAGTTCGACGAATGGCTCTATTTAACATAGCAACATGTGAATTTGTTATATTTCCCGAAGAGAGAGACTTATGTTTATTATATGTACAAATCATAAATTTCATTATATATCTATATATACGTATATACATGTAACATACACGAAGACGCGTTTCACATAATAATATGCTACAATTTATGCGTAATATATATATGTCTTGAAAGCACATTACCGTGTCACGAATATAAAACCGAATAATCTAATATATTTTACAAATCTCGACAAAACCAGCTTCACTCCAATTGTGATCAATGGCGGAAAAAGAATATTATTTCACACAAACGAAATGGAGCTATTCTCTTTGCATTTTTCAATCTTTCTTCCTTCGAACAGTCCCGACCAAGACCGGCCGATTTATGGAAATTACGGACATTAAAGGAATAAAATGTCATGTCTTTCTTCTTTATCTTCTGTTTTTTCCTACCAACTGATGCGCGCTATATTTTGAATACGCTCGTTCGATAATATTCGCGATGTGTCCTTGCTTTCGATCGTATTCCTATCACAAAATGCTGGACGTTAAGTGAGAAACCGATCTATAAGACTTATCCTACGTTTGTACATTGCGAGAATGTTATCCTTCGTTCGGCAATTTGTCAAATTCGCCACTATCGCTTGGCTCATATGTAACAGAACGAACTTCCCTCGGTAATGTTCGCGAAAAATATAATATGTAATATATATATATATCATCGAAAGCGATCACCGAGAGGAACATAGACTTTTGGAATAATCGTATTACGCTCGTAAAAAGAAAAACGCGAAATAACATCCTTGTGTATAGAAGCGTATTTGCTCGTTTCATAAAATATTTTCTCTTCCAGTTGAGCAGATTAAACTCTTTATGGCATACGGATCTGATAATTACAAACTGAAACGCTCTGACAGCACCAATGTTTTTATATACATACCAGGAACAAACGAGCTATGCACATCTCCTAGAGAGAAAACATATGCATGGTTCGATTGAACGCTGCAATCTACAAGTCGGCATTTACCTATCAGTATGAATAAGTTAGAGAATTATAGTATAACTCGTGGTTATTTCGTCAGGTGATAAATATCGTTTCGTTACATCGTACAATGAACAAAGAGAAAATTCGGAATTTTTAAATGTGTAGCCTCGCTTATAATATCGAAAATAAAGCACAACGTGTACCAAATTGAAGAAGATTGCTTATAAAGAAAATATTATATCTAGTATTCGTAAACTAGCTATCAAACGATTTTTGGACAAAATTTGTTGAAAGAAATGCATTGAACGATTACGAAGAAAGGGAAAAATTCGAAAAGAACATTTTGTCGATTATTCCGGATTCAAATAGATACATAGATGGCAGTTACGATTCTTATTCATATAATGTTGGTATAATGATATACTAGTCTGATGATTAATAACAGTACCTGCATGACAGAGATCACCCAACAATAAGGTCCATAAAATTTTCAGATTTCTAACATTTCTTACATTACTGATATCCGCTTCGTTTTCTATGTAATAACTGTCCTTTGCCAGCATATAAAATCAGACTCGGTGGTATATCACCATGCTCTTAGACTGTAACAAATTTCGTCCAGAATGTCGACGATACGGTCGACGTTATTCTTACTACGATTATACTCACGCACAACATAAACCTGAATTTTAGTTACGAGCGCAAACTTAACACTATCCTCAACATTCGCGATCTCATTCAACATAACATACATTTCTCAACAGCTGCTTTATTATTGGAATTCTCGATATAACTCATTAAAACACCGCGATAAAAACGTTCAATCCATTCGCCTTAACAACAGCAACGCATATTATTTTCGTGTTGAAATCTACGCTGTTAATAAGCGATACTTGCAAATGAATTGAATCGTAAGAACTATTTGACAAAATAAAAATATCTACGATTTGCGTGACCATATATCAACGAGATAGTTAGAAAACATTCCGTGAGAAAAACTAATGTTACAAAACAAGTACCCTGTGTAGACCTAACTAAGAACGATCAATGCGTAGAACTTTTACAAGATACAAGTTAATAAACGGAAATAAGTGAACCCTCTTAACATTAACGGCTTCTTAAACGTTTTTCTGTATTAAACTGCGATATTCATCAGATGCTCACGGTACTATTTAGAAGCAATTATATGCTTAAGATACATATACATGTATGATATACTCTCCAGACATCGCATTTCTAGAGAAAGTAAATTGATCCTTGTAAAATCGAAATTGGAAATTCACATATACTTGACTAAAACTTATAACGCGTCTATTATTATTTGCTTACGTAATTTGAGGTATGTTTGCCTGTGTAATCTGCGAAAATTTCGATTCGTTTGAACAACGTGATCTTGATAAAAGGAAAAAATCTTTCGGGGTTATTCATCAGCGAATACGCGTGCTGTTGAAGATCTTGCGAATTTTATCGTGGAGGATACCGGCTCTGCTGTATGCTCTTTACTGAACGATTCTTCGTGTCGTTCGGGTTGTACATCATTGGTCCCTAAAGATCATCATTTTCTTGAAAAATAAATCACAACGTCAGATTGAAATTATATACAACTATGTCATAAATTTTACAATTTTGCAATATTAATTGAATCTTTTGTACTCTTCTTATGCCATTGTAAATTTGTTATATCATTCTTTTGTCATGAAACGATATAATATCAAGATTGAAAAATAGTAATTAAACGATCACATTTCCTTGTTACGTTTGTAATTTGGAGCTTACAGTTTGATGTGATACAAAGCATAAAATAAAAGCTTCGCAATTAACGTATAACACTGCGAGACCAAAACCATAAATACATCCTTCACCAAGCTTTCCCATAGCTTTGCCATAAAAATCTTATGAAAATAAATTGCTCGACTTTGATGAATTTAAGCTTGATTTAAGGGCGAAAGCTATATGACTGTGAAGTATGAAACGATATCTTATCTTAAATCTATTGCAAATATAAAATATATTTCAAACAGACCTATACATGTGAAATAATTTTTGAGTTAAAACAAATTCAACTATTGAAAATTTATTCATAAAAAAAAAATCTCAGGTATCATTTCACTTGTAAGGGCAGTTCTAAATAGAAAATAAATACTTTGCACAATTACGAATTCATTATAAAATACGACACTGTAATAAATAAGTAAGAGTTTCTACCGTGTATTGTTGAGTAGTATTTGTAAGTGATATCACCTTTGGAATGAGAAATGTCTAATGCCACTGGATTACCTTGTTCTGTGGGAGAAAACGCGGATCCCTCATAGTGTAGCTCTGCACCTCTCGCGATAACGAGCTGGTTGAGCTCCATCGAGAGAACTGTGTGCCATATACAACACAACAATTTTGTCTCACTAACCGAATACTCATTCTATTGCTATGATTAGGTAACAAAGTTTGCGAGGATGCAATACCGACTTCCTTCTATCATAAAACAAAGATTACTACTTTTTAATAAAATTACTTCACGTAGGAGGCCATGAAATATCAGAATTGTATGTAATCGGTATTGCAAATCTCTAGTATTGTCATGTATAAAACTGTGATGTTCTCTATGATAAATATACCTTTTAATTGCAAAAATAAACCATGCTAAAAAATATAATGTAAATATACTACTGCGTTATTTTAGTATCCTGTACCATATGTTAGCTTGTGACTTAAATCACCCTTCCTTGTACACCTGTTACCAAGAAATTGTGTACATGCAAAAAAAGAAACTCCAAAGGAGCGTTGCGTAACATTATACAGAACACAAATATCGAAAAGAAGGATAATGGACAAACAAGTATTAAAAAGTGGCTTTTTAAACAGTATGCTCCGTTTTCTATCCTCTTAATCATCTTTGCTATAACTCGATTTGTTCAAATGCCGTAATGTTGCAAATAATTGAAACTCGTTGCATCGAGCATACATACAATATTTACACTGTCATCCATGCTACTAGATAAACATTACAAACCATGCATATACAATACTAAAGAACAGCGTATAAAATTAATAAAATAGTTCTTACTATCAGCAACAATTATTATTTGGCTACATCATTCTGCCTCCCCGACTGCTTGCAAAGGAAACAAAAAAAAGAAAGGTGGATTAAACACAGGTTTGCGAGAAAGAGGATATCTATTGTGATCTTGGAAAATCTACCTAGTATAACGAACGTTAAAATATAATACAAAAATCATATAATTTTCAATTAAAAAGGGACGAAATAGTTTGTTCTTCGTTTGTAGGAGAAAGAAACCTAGTTAGGAATTGATACCGTTTCCCATTGAATAATTCAAATAACAAAAAACATATATAATTTTTGAATAAGTATATTGTACATACAAAAATAAGAATTAATTTAAAAGACGAGAAAACTGGTATTTTTGGATAAACAGACAACGCACAAAACTAAGGAAAATGTAGAGTACATACAAATTGTTATTACGAATATAACTGTAAAGGAGAGAAAATAACATTTTAACATTACAGTTCCAGATACAGGTTTAAAGTACAACAAAGCTGCATACCAGCATACTGCAGCCATGACAAAAAGATAAAAGAGTCGTGTACAGTGAATCTGAGATTGTAGATATACACATGAAACTGTATTGTTAATGTTGAATATATGTTTGTGATGACAAAAGACCATTGTATGTGCATGAATGTTCGCGAAGATTATTGTTCGCAATAAAAAGAGCTTACCCCTTGAGATGTATTCTCAGGAACGTTCGTTGGTACGGCTGCTGTTGCTTCCGTTGAAGTTAAGAAGTCTACAGGAGCACTTGGATCGTTAACTACAAAAAAAAAAGAAAAAAGAGTGATGTGATTAATGAAAATAAACTTTATGTGAATTCACGAGTTATAGAAAATTTACCTGGAGCAGGGATAAATAACTGAGGTGATGACGTAGCCATAGGTACCATTGGAGATGTTACCGGGGTTGGTATACTTGAAGGTACTGCGTTATTTTTTGGACCACCTGGATTCATTACATCTATATAATTAGCACGCATACTTCTACCTCTGGGTAATTTAAATTTGTTCACAGAGGTGTCATCTGCCTGCGAAGGTGGCTGAGATGATTGAGGTGGTTGAGAAGCTTGTTCAGGCACAGGTGATCTAAATCCCATGTCAGAAGCTTTCGGAGGGGGAGCTATTGTAGCCGAATTACTATCTCCGTCTTCGTCTTTATTCATCCACTTTTTAGCAACCGGATCCCAAACGATCTATTTAAGAGATAAAGCGAAATATAAATATTATTGCGCCTCTTTATTTACACAAAGGGAGCACAAATATCTTCTTTATATGGGAAAAAAACTAAACTACAGGGCTCAAATAATTTCACTATATAATTTCTTTGTTAGACACGAAAATTGGAATGTTAAGCCAGAATATATCAATAATTCGTTAGCTGTTAATTAAATGACCGAACATTGAATTATACTGGCCTTTCTCCCTTTCAGCATAAAAGACGTCATAATTACCATAAGTACCCGCGTGAGCCCTTAAGCGACAGAAAAGTATAAAACCAGCTATCGTAATTTTTTAATGATCTATTAAGGCTTTAATGTTTCGAAAATCTTACCGTCGGGTTACTGTCATCTGGAAGAATCATCTGGTTCCTTGGTTTTGGAGCAAGTTTGCTGAAGAGGCCGCCAAACCAAGAACCTCCGCTGTTAGAAGATTTCTTTTCGACTGGTTTTTCCGATACTTTTTTAGCTGAAGCTGCAGGTTTCGAGGCTGGTTTCGGAGTCTCGAGGGCATCCAATTCCTCCAATGGATCGTACTGTTTTCTCATTGACGGTGTCATCGAAATTGCCGGTTGCGATGACTGAAATAAAGTATACAATTCATCATCGCAAAGTTGCCCCAGCAAAGTCGATCACTGTTTACTGTAATAGTGTAAGTACACGTTATTTGTGCATTTAATATTTTATATACATATACATTCTTTTCTCTTCACAGAAGTATCTAACTATAACAGTAAATAGTGAAAAACTTTGCTCGCATGTTTATAATCGATGTGAGATATTTTTTAAAAATTCAGGAAAATCAGTAACATGGGAAACTTTATTACATATTTAATATCAACAGATTTATATACATAAATGATATCTAAAACGAGAACAAATTACTTTGTATCAAATATTTGTGTTATTCATGCCTTCTAATAACATAAAACATTATTCATCGGAAACGTTATTTTATAAGCGGAAGAACTAACTGACGTACGAAAGTAAGTTAATATTTCTTGCAAATATAACTACAAATGTACAGTAACATTGAGGTTTTAACATCGAGAAACCTAATATATTTTCTACTCACAATCCGTTGGAACATCAATATCATAAGTTTTAGGGATGGACTTTTCCATAGGAACATCTTTGAATTTTGTTAAACGAAGGTCACTTGTTGGTTTAACCGGTAAATCTATCGGGTACGTACCACCAAAAATAAGCGGTTTATATCGACACAATTCGGTGGAATTCTGTGAAGAATTCGAATAAGACCATGCATCTACTGTATCACAAATAACATCTTTTCTTCGAATATGCGGAGCTATTCTCATAACTCTTTTGTCCTCGAAATTACAATATTGCTTTAAAGTTTGATTCATACTTTCGGAAGCTATAATTGGCTTGTTTCTTGAACTTGAACCAGAATTAAACATAGAAGGAAACTCAAAATTAACCTTACTAAATTGAATATCTAAGTCAGTAGTGGCCGATAAAGTCAAATTATTTTCACCTGCATCGCCAGAATTTTTGTCTTCGTTATTTTCCATTTTCTTTTTAACTTTACATTTTAGGAATATGGGCGGCTGCGAAGAAGGTGGCTTCACGTATCTACCATCTAGTTTCTTTATTTTATTTACGTCTTTCGGGTAAATTGTATTATTTGGTAAGATTCTCGGATAAGCTACCGTGATCTTTGGGTATGTTATTATTTTCCGCGATTTCATGGATTTTTCATTTAAAATAGTTGGTTTAAAAGTTGACGATATACCCGTATAAATACTAATATTAAAATCGGAAGAATGAGGGCTAGCGCATCGATCCGAATCTGTTAATACTTTGCGTCGTCGTAATGAGCTAACATTGGTGTCATCCAATGACCACTCAGGATCGAGATTACTATCCGCAGTAACCATATAATTACTTACTTCAAGGGTAGGTGTTTGTTCTTCTCTTTCCGTCTGTCCATATGCAAGCATTAGAAAAGAAAGAGACGAAAAAAAATGTTATTTCTACATGTACGTACAATATCGGAAGATTAAAGATATTATTCTATGAAAGAATCAAACACGAAAAATGTAATTAGTATGTACATGTACGAGTAAGGATAATAAACATACAATAATTATACTATCGGAATATGTAACGAAATATGTGTGAAATGATACAGGATAAGCGAATAAAAACCACATATTATTATGTCATAAATTGGAACAATTAATTTACCTTATAGCTCCATTTTTCTTGCTGTTGAGAGTTGTCAATATCACTTTGTTCTGGAGAATATGTCGATTGTTGTTGCCAATTCGTGATGGTACTATCGTTTCTTCCATAATTGCTTTGATAATAAGAGTCTTGAGTCCAATAATCTTGCTGTTGAGGTTGTTGATATTGACAAGATTCTTCGTTATTTCTCGTATACTGCATACTTTGATCATATGTATCTGGTATATTCGGTGGTAAAGATAATGGCTGCCATTCTGACTGTGTATCAGTCGTGGCTACTTCCATTATCGACGTTGAACCTTCTCTGTATTCGGGTTGAATCGTGTTCCATTGCTGTTGTTGTTTCATTTCATGCACTTCTTGATTTTGTATACTGTTATACGATTCTTGTTTTGCTTGAGGAACGTAAACTTCATTTTCGGTAATTTCTCCCTCCTGTAATAAAGTAACATCCTCGTTTCTTATACAGTTCAAATAAAATAATACTTTTAATGTTTATCTTCTATTCAAACTTACATGGCATTTACCAACAATTTCAGCTAGATTATTGAACCAAGTTAAAGTTGTAGCTTCATCGATAGAATCTTTATAGACAGGATCATGATACCTAATCCTGTCTCCTAAATTATACACGGCATTAATAAACGACTTTTTGTACTTCAATGGTTCGTTAAAAATGTTTACTGCAATCTGTTCTATATATAGTAAAGCTTTCTCTATTAATCCATGATCTACCATTTTTATTGCCAAGTCGAACTTAAAGGTTTGTAGATCTACTAATGTAAAACCTGGTTCGCTAAGATTTCTGGCATATTCGTATATTTCCGTGAGCATAACGGCTTCCGTTGAGAAAAATACATTGTATGCTTTCTGATGGTTTGCACCGATCAGTACAAGTTTTACATTACTTGCTCCATAGGTACCAAAATCAACTTGTGCAAGTACGTAACAGAAATGCGCTGCGTAAATATCTCCTCGTGCAGAAAGTGTATCACCGAGAGTTGTAATTGAGCGACGATTAATTTCTGGATTGGCAGATGTGTTGGATATAATCATTGCTAAATGAGGTCTCCAGTCATCCCATCGAGGATCCGATATACCGGTAACAACAGCTGGCACACGGCCAGAATGAAGTTGATATAAAGTTTGCAATGGATCGTGATACGGTAAACTATTGGCAAAACGTGTCATTACAGATGCATGCGTACGTTTATCCAATTTGCTAGCTAAGAAGAGTGCATGTCCCCAAAGACCTTCGTTCATTGCATATTCTGTATATTAAAAATAATTAAATTTAAAACAAATAAACATCATGTACGCGTTTAATCTCATAAAGGATATAAATATATATTTACCTAATGCTTCTTGGACTAATCCATAAAGTAACGTATTTCTAAATTCGTCTGTTATTTGTTCAGTGCTTTTCCGTGGCTTACTTTCGACTTTTTCGGATGTCGTTGCACCATCTTGACTACCTTGAACACTATCTCCAACTGAGGCTCCCGATCTTTGAGATATTATCGATTCCCTTCTTCCTGAATCCTGCAACTTTTGCTTATTTACATCGTAAGGATATGCATCTTTATTTCTGAGTAACAATGCTGCTATATCAACGCCGACAACATTCTGGAAAACACGCGTACGATCAGATACAAAAAGTAAATTGTATGTATGTACAAAAAATATATCTCACCCCATTTTGTTGAATCAACATAATCATTAGTTCATATAAAAGTATGTATGAAGCACGATCAACCATCTCTTCGTTTGACGCTGCCCTTTTAATTTTATTCTCACAATATTCGATAATGGTCTTTTTATGAGTCACACCCCTATACAAAAAAGCGAGATATGGTATTACAAATAATGTAAATAGGCGGGGAATTATTTACAAAATGTTACAAATATAAAATTAAGTAAAATAATAATTAATGTCCAAGCATGCATATGTACTACATACATTACCGACATACATTACAATACAGCATGAAATTTCATTTTTTGTAAAAATAAATTGAAATGTTCCATGCACTTAAATGAGAATACGCATGCTTAGATTATAGATATACTGATTACACTTGCTTAATTAGGGGACCAGGATAGGCACGTAAATCGCGTGCTACTGGATCATGTGAAAGTAGATTATCCAATCTAAAAATATCTACTTTGGCTCTTTCACCATCAGATGGATAAGATGGATGCACATGTATCAATGATCCGATAGAGAAACATCCTGAAAGTAAAATATTTTTATAAATCTTGTTACAGTGAATTTTGATAAATAAATGATGACACTTGAAATCATACCATACACGTGTGAAATAGAGAATTTAGTTGGCGTCATACGTGCAGAGGTAGTTGTTGAATCTTCAAGCATAGATATATCAGCTAAAGTTCGTTTATCACCAGTTGTTCTGAAAAATACAATTTTTATTGTCGCACTTGGATTGAAACCAGCAATAATATAATGGATCGTCGAGCAGGACAACTACAAGAAAGGAAGACAGATTGTTTCTAATAAGACCTACAAGTATATATAAATATTTTAATATATCTTAACAAATACTAACTCTAGTGAGGAATTCTAATTATCTACTTAAAGAAAGATATTTTAAATGGCAGGAAAGTATTTTAACTAAATTACTCTTAATGACAGAAAATTTGATATTTTCAATATTTCGAGCAAATCTTGAACCGAGAGAATTCTCCCGGTCTCACCTATTTAAATTTTGATAACTTGAATTCTGTCTTCGTTGTGGACTCCTAGTCCATCCGGGATACCCGAAATACGGAACATATAATGCTTTGTTTGGCGAGTAGAAGCATGCACTTGAATTTGTAAAAAATCTAACACATAATGAATGTTATAAAGTCTATAGGAAAATAGAACCAGAATATTCATCCAATACTTGCTTTAACTACTCTAACACTTACCTTTCGTCGCAAGAACTACGCCCGGAATGGACACTTGCTCTGTCTTCAGGATAATTGACAACACCACGAGAAATGTGTTGTTGTTGATGTTGATTGGCATAATATTTATGATACCATTCCGAATAAGCAGCAGGGTTTGTACGTCGCAAATTTTCAATGTATGCATAATAGTTACTGGCATAATGAACACCATAATCGTATCCAGGATAGCCTTCAACACAAAATAATCTATTTTATTTTTTGAAACAAGAATTTAACTACACAAGGGATATATATATGTCGGAGAGGAAAGGACACCGGAGCCTTCCCTCTGGAACTTCGGAAAAATCCGTAAAGTTGTAATTAAACAATTTGCCGTCATCCTGCCCAATTGTACTTGTTTGCGATTTGCGATAACAAACTTGAACTCAAGGCAACCAACAGCCGCCGAACGTAGCCGCGATCAACAGGGTGATAGATATACTTGCTCTAACTCAAACGTGTACTACTCACTCATCGTAAGGCGCTACTCCCTTCGTCGATGCGATCTCAAGAAAGAATGAAATCGTCCCAGCGACGCCACCGAGGAAAACTATGGTGGGATGTGTCTATGTGCACGAGATCCTCGGATCGACGTCGCTGTCGATTGATCGATTTGGGACAAAAGTTGCCTGTCCGTTTGCACAAATCTTAATTGCCGGAAAACCCAGGTTTTATAGCGGGTCCTCGGGCTAACTAAACTTGTGCTGTGTACGTGCCTCAACATCAGGTATTCATTGTCCGAGGGAACCGTTAGCATGTATTACTGTCGGGTACCTCTATGGGTATTTCCTTTAATGAGGGTCATAACGTCACTCCGCACCTTTGTTAGACGAAGAGCCCGTCCCGTTGACCGCTGCTACGTTCGGCGGCTGATGGTCGCCTTGAGCCCAAGTTTATTATCATAAATCGCATACAAGTACAATTGGGCAGGATGACGGCAAATTGTTTAATTACAACTGTAAACTTTAATTAC